AGCCTAACTTCCATTCTAGGGAAAATCCTAGAAAAGTTCATTGAGGAGTCTTTCTGGGATAAGCTTGCAGAAGGTCAGATTCTGAATGACAGCCAGCATGGCATCGTCACAGGCAGGTCTTGCCTTACCAACCTCATCTCCTTCTATGACCAGGTAACTCGCCACCTGGACACGAGAGAGCAGGTTGACATTGTATATCTTGACTTCCAAAAGGCCTTTGATCTAGTATCCCACAATATCCTTGTGAGAAAATTGGAGGATTGTGGGCTTAACTCCAAGACAGTCAGGTGGGTGAGAAACCGGTGAGAAGTGGGCAGCGGTGTCCTGCAGGGGTCAGTGCTCGGTTGAGTACTTTTCAACATCTTTGTTAACTATTTGGATGTGGGAGTGAAGAGCTCACTGGCCAAATTTGTGGACGACACCAAGTTATGGGGGAGCATGGTCATGCTTGAAGATAGGCTACAGATACAGGCGGACCTAGACAGGCCAGCAAGCTGGGCAGATCAGAACCTGATGAAGTTCAGTGTCAAGAAATGCAAAGTCCCACCTTGGGACGAGCAACCCCCAACACATCTACTGGCTTGGTGGCACCAAACTGAATAGCACCACAAATGAAAGGGACCTGGGGATAATAATAGACCACAGTATGAATATGAGCTGGAAGTGAGATGCTGTAGCCAGTAGGGCAAATAACACTCTGGCATGCATCAATGGACATATCACGAGGAAAACCAGAGCGGTGATTCTTCCGCTGTACTCAGCAGTGGTGAAACTGCAGCTGGAGTACTGCATCCAGTTCTGGGCACCACACTTTAACAAGGACATGGACAAGCTTGAGAGAGTCCAAAGAAGAACCACCCGTATGATCAGAGTCTTAAAAGACTAGCCATACGAGGAAAGGCTGAGGGATCTGGGACTCTTCAGGCTGAGGAAAAGAAGGCTGAGGGGGGACCTGGTAGCACCATGCCGTTATACTAGGGAGTGCATCAAGGGCTTGGTGAACAGGGCACTTAAGGGGAAAACCCGGAGTAATGGCCACAAACTCCTGGAGGATCGATTCAGGCTCAACATTAAAAAAAACTTCTTCACTGTCAGGGTGTGACCTTCACAGTCAGACTGTGAAATAAGCTCCCTCCAGAGGTGGTGTAGTCACCTACCCTGGAAATCTTCAAGAGGAGACTAGACAGTCACCTTCCTGGGGTCACCTGACCCCCAGTTATCGTTCCTGCTTGGTGCAGGGGGCTGGACCCGATGATCTTCTGAGGCCCCTTCCAGCCTTACAATCTATTAATCTATGAAATGTTAGTGCACTGAGTGGGTTGTTAGTAATCCATATTCTGTTTGGACATTACTTTGAATGTGACCAAGATCTGTGTAATACAGCTTCTTTTCAGTGTTTTCAAATGCACTTAAATTTTCATAGATAATTGTGTCAAGAATACTTGTGATCCTCTACAGTCTGACCTTCTGTATATTGGTCTGTAGGACTTCCCTGAATGAAGTCCTGTTCAAACTGGAACATATCTTTTTAAAAGCCATACCTTTTAATTTAAAGATTACCAGTAACAGATTTATTCCAATGGCCAATAGCCCTTGTTGCCAACAAATGGTATCTTACATCTAATCTACATTTGTCTAGCTCTGATTTTCAGCCATTGGATCTTGTTGTCTTTGCCCTTTTTTTTTAAAGTAATCTATTAACGTTACTTTACTTTTCTGTTGGAATGATTAGCTAGGTGGGTAAGACTTCACAGTTTTGCACTATGGGGTGAGACAACAGGGAAGTTCAGTTAGTTGCCAAAGCACAGAATGAGGAGTAGAAGTCACACACAGTGCTAGGCTTTAAGCCTGTTCTGTAATTATAAAGCACCTGATTGTGCTTACCTTCAAATAATGATATTAGCTGAAGGTGCCTTCAAAGATACTGAACTGCTTATTAATGATCACTTGGCCTCAATCTCCACTTAAAAAAACTAGGCTTAATTATGGAGGGGAACTTTTACTACAGCATTTCGATACTGTAGTGCTATACAGAATCATATTTTTTTCTTGCTTGTATTATAGCCTTTCTTATGTCAGCACCAGGCCAGTCACTAGGATTTGATCTTAATATTAAGGATCTGCTGGCCAGTTTAGAATTAGCAGAGTTTATGCTGAACCACTCGGCACTCCTTGAGTTGGATTCATGAGCTATTTGTTTCAGTGACTGAGATGTTGCTGGTCTGTCTGAGTTGCTGTGTAGGTATTATACTCATGCCTAGAATGTAGGAATCAGTTGGTAGTGAAGAGCAATTCCTTAGGTCACTGAGGGACTATAGGGGTTGGAAACAGTGTCCCTAAATGCTGTATCCTGTTGCACAGTTACATGCATACATACCTTACTCCTAAACAGAGTGAATATAATTCGTATGTCAGTGACTTACCTACCTCCTGCCCTGTGCACCCTGTTTCTGAAGTGGAATGGTTGGTTGGCACTACAGAGCCTCTGCCTCTTTAGCTACGTTGGCAGAATCCCCTAGTGTTGGCATGTGCAGTTTCTGGAGGAGTTCCTGTCACCATACTTATGCACCTTTCCTGAGCACAGCAGGTTCAGGTGACAGAATTGCTATTATGTTAACATAGCTGTATCCACACAGTTGTGTAGGGCTGTTTTTGCTATATTTGTAGCTAATATGGTTGTCCCAGAAAACCTGTATATAGACCCACTTGAAGAATTTCTGGCAGTAATATAGGTGGGATAGTTTCATAGTTTCTAGGGTCGGAAGGGACCTGA